GAGTAGCTATAAAACAGTCGGACAATAATAGATATGATATCCGTGTGTTATACACAAGTAGCTATAAAACAATAATAGATATGATATCCGTGTGTTATACACAAGTAACTATAAAACAATAATAGATATGATATCCGTGTGTTATACACGAGTAGCTATAAAACAATAATAGATATGATATCCGTGTGTTATACACGAGTAGCTATAAAACAGTAATAGATATGATATCTGTGTGTTATACACGAGTAGCTATAAAACAATAATAGATATGATATCCGTGTGTTATACACGAGTAGCTATAAAACAGTAATAGATATGATATCCGTGTGTTAGACACGAGTAGCTATAAAACAATAATAGATATGATATCCGTGTGTTAGACACGAGTAGCTATAAAACAATAATAGATATGATATCCGTGTGTTATACACGAGTAGCTATAAAACAATAATAGATATAATATCCGTGTGTTATACACGAGTAGCTATAAAACAATAATAGATATGATATCCGTGTGTGATACACGAGTAGCTATAAAACAATAATAGATATGACATCCGTGTGTTATACACAAGTAGGTATAAAACAGTCGGACAATAATAGATATGATATCCGTGTGTTATACATGAGTAGCTATAAAACAGTAATAGATATGATATCCGTGTGTTATACATGAGTAGCTATAAAACAATAATATATATGATATCCGTGTGTTTTACAGGCAGCGCTACATTCCTTTGTTGGAGGTCATGGACCAAGTTTCAGTGAAAGTTGTAGCAGGTACGAAATTGGACCTTATAGGTATACCAAGTATAGGACAGGTATACCTTCCAAGACAGGTATACTTAGAATTTTATCTTCTTGTTATTTACATACCAAGTATAGGACAGGTATACTTAGAATTTTATCTTCTTGTTATTTACATACCAAGTATAGGACAGGTATACCTTCCAAGACAGGTATACTTAGAATTTTATCTTCTTGTTATTTACATACCAAGTATAGGACAGGTATACCTTCCAAGACAGGTATACTTAGAATTTTATCTTCTTGTTATTTACATACCAAGTATAGGACAGGTATACCTTCCAAGACAGGTATACTTAGAATTTTATCATCTTGTTATTTACATACCAAGTATAGGACAGGTATACCTTCCAAGACAGGTATACTTAGAATTTGATCTTCTTGTTATTTACATACCAAGACAGGTATACTTAGAATTTTATCATCTTGTTATTTACATACGA